GTCGATACCGTCGTCGCCGTCTCGTCGTCGCTAGCATCGTCGTCCTCGTGCCTCGTCGTCCGTCGTCATCATCGTTGTCGTCGGTGGTGGTGGTGGTGGTGGTGGTGGCGGTGGTGGTGGCGGCGGTGGTGGCGGCGGTGGTGGTGGAGGTGGTGGTCGTGGTGGCTGCGGTTGCGGTGGTGTTGGTGTTGGTGTTCTTGTTGTTGTTGCTGTCTCGGAGAGACCTCGCACCAGCCCCTGCAAATTCCGTATTAGGGTTTAGGGTTCCCGGTTCCGGGTACCGATAAACCTGTTGGAGAACACTGAATTTCGATAGGGTTTGGGGGTATGATCAAGTCTAGAAAGACTAAAGCACCCTGAGCAGGCAGGTTCCGTATTTCTCTACCCCTTCCACTTTATGCCTAACTGCCCAAAGGCTCCATGTACCTTTATAGTAGATACTTAAGCCCTCAAGTACCTATAGAGGGACCCCTTTAAGGCTTAAGTAACTACTATAAAGATACATGGAGCCTTTGGGCTATATAAAGCAGAGCACTCCCCCACGGAGTCTAGGCGTCACCAGCGCAGGGTCTCAACTTCTGGACTTAAGCTTTAGGGTTTTGGGTTTTAGGGTTTAGGGTTTTGGGATTGGGTTTTAGAGTTTGGGCTTGACGGGTTTCGTGACAGTCCAGTGCTTTTGTGCCTTAAGGGTAGGGTCTTGGGCTTAAAATTTCGAGCAGAAGGGTGTGTGAATTTATATGGCACTGAATGCTCAGGATTCCTTGCTCAGAGTTCGGGCTTCATGGTGCTACCGTCTGCACCCAAGTTCTTGCCACCTTCGTTTATCCGTACTGCATCCCTGCACCCCAGTCGCGGCTTAGGAGAACTATCCTTTCGGGTTTAGGATTTTAGGAGGACTCGAACAGGATTTGGCAAAGTTGGTGAGCATTCTACGATAGGATCAAATCGGAACTGCAAGGGAGTGAGGTGGTCTGATTGTTGAAGCTTGCATCTAACACTCGTGGTCGTAAGCTCTACCCTCAACCCAAAACCCCCAAATTCTAAACCTAAACCCTCAACGCTCGACCCTGAACTCATAAGGACCCTTACAGGGATAGGGTGGAGGGAGAGCGGCCGGGCCTTCATAAGGCCTACTTAACGAAGGATAGTCCCCTAACCCGCTCCCCCTTACCGCTCTGAGGTTCCTTATGATCAACCCTAAACCCTACACCCTGAATCCCAAACCCTAAACCGATAAACCCTAAACCCAAAGCTCCTAAACCCTGAACCCCTAAACCCTAAACCTTGAACCCCAAACCCTACACCCTAAACCCTAAACTTTGAACCCTCAACCCTACACCCCGAACCCCCAAACCCTAAACTTTGAACCCAAACCCTACACCCTAAACTTTGAACCCCAAACCCTACACCCCTAAACCCCCAAACCCTAAACTTTGAACCCGAAACCCTACACCCTGAACCCCAAACCCTAAACCCTAAACCCTAAACCTGAAACCCTAAACCCTTAAACCTTGAAACCCAAACCCTACGCCCTGAAACCCCTGAAACCCCGAAACCCCGAGCTCCAGGCCCCGTTTGGGCCGGTGATGAGAATGGGCGAGCCCTTCTCCACCTGCCACGTTGGAAGATCTGGGATCGGTTTAGGGTTTAGGGTTTAGGGTTAGGGTTTAGGGTTTAGGGTCATCTAGAAGGGATCTGCTTAAGGGATTTGTAAGGCATCTAGAAGGGATTTATTAGGCATCTATAAGGGATATATAAGGCATCTAGAAGGGATCTATAAGGGACTTATAAGGCATCTAGGGATCTAGACGGGATCTATAAAGGTTCTAGAAGGGATCTATAAGGGTTCCAGAATGGGCATCTATAAAGGATTTGGGGGGGTTTAAGGGTGCAGGGTTTCGTTTTGGGGTTCCGGGGTTTAGGGCATATGGGATTTTGGGTTCAGAGTTTCGGGTTTGCGGTTTAGGGTTTGGGGCTTTATGCCCGAATTCTTAAATCAAGGTCTGGAGAGTTTTATTATAGTACCCTAAGGGTCCATGTACCTAAATAGTATATACATTGGCCCTAAAGTACCGATATAGGGACTACATTAAGGACAAAGTATATACTATTTGGGTACATGGACCTTTTGGGTATAGTATGGTATAGTACAATATAGGTGGCCGCAGGATGTTGTGGCTATCTGGTAGTAGAACCATAAAAGTAGGAACCCCAAGGACATAGTGACAGAAATTGGTGACTGTCACGGTATAGGGTTAAGGGTTCGTGTTCGTGTTGAGGGCTGTTGCGTTCAGTACCCTAAACCCTAAACCCT